TTCCTGCTCCTAAAATAATCATTAAAAATGAAAATACCAATGAGACCAATGATCTCAATGAGACCAGACCTCTCAGATCTGGAGCAGTAGGCTTCATGTTTTTATCGAGCATATGAATTGAGGGTTTATGACACACCTCTGGCAGGGTGGGCAGCATTTGAAGGCGGGCACTGTAATGCTTACAGTACTTACACACAACAGACAGGCCATTTAGGTGGAAATCAGGATATTAGATGTCCATGCGTAGCTCTCATCTGGATACTCTAGGTCTATAACAAGCCTGCTGTTTAGAAAGCAAAGTGCTTCCTAAGGAAGTATTTATAAAAAAAGCAAGGTAATGAAACTTTGTAAAAATTAGGATAAAAGGATAGCTGCTCTCTTCGCTAAGTATCTTGCAATATTCCTGCAAAAATTTAATACATTAAGACAATATGAACTGCAACTTGCATCAGAAGTTACCTGCCAAGTCCACTCCCATATACAGAAAGTATTAGTTACTTGGGGAGGCGAAATTTTGTCCCACACTAAACAGCCACAAGTTTAACTCCGCATCTGCTGACTTTTATTGCTGTGTATCAACAACAACAAAAAATTTTGCTTAGTTGGCTTTCTGCTTCTAGGCAACTGAGACTGGTAGATTGAGATCCACTTTAGATCTATTTCCGTCACCGGTAGCTGACCGAGCGTATTCCAACGTGCAACGTTCAGACACAAGAGGGGGGAAAAAAAAAAGCAGCAAGTCGCATTTTAAATCTGATGTCACGGTGCTGTTTAAAATCCACGTTTTAAATCAGTGCCACGTGTCCAACAAATTCAAAATAGTTTACAGTATTCTGGTACAGGATGTTATGTGAAAGCATGGTGAGCAAGGGAAACTACACACGCACCCATCTCAAGAAATGTAATACATAGACTTAAAATTCCACCTGTCCAGTGGGATATTCACTGGCCTTGCGGGGTGAATTCCACAGAAGAACACGGTGCTCCTGTAAAATGATATTGCTTTCCTACAGGACAGGTGGAATTGTAAAGCTTTGAGAGTGTTGAGCTCCAAACTCTACCCCAAATCTTTAATTCTCCATTTCCACACAGGCTACGGAAAATTTGTGAAGTGGGGCTTTTTAGTCCTGCCCGCATGTAACTCGGCTCCTACACACCACCCAGACAGCCAGACATGCTGGCTCACCTACAGTGAGCACACTCCCCTCAGATATAAAGGACAACTTACACCAAGGAGGGCTGCAAATACAAAAAGGGGAGAAGAAGAATGGAGCAAGCAGAGCCACAGGCCAGGAGTCCACAGCTCTGGCAGGGAAAGCCCCCAGTGCACCTCAGCAGCAGACATAGGCAAAGGCGGTGTGCTTTGGGCAGCCCCAGGCTGTCCTCTCAGCCTCTCTCCTCTCCACCTGCTGTAAATCTCCTCAAAGATATTTTGGAGTGATGAAAGAATTTGTGCTCTTCTTTAGAGCTCCTCTTATAAAACATATCCTGTACCGCTTCTATTTTAAAACCGATTACTTAAAATGGAAACACAAAGTGCCAAGCCATTTTTTTCTTTACTGGATGTATTTTAGATTAAAGGCATGTGACCAAAGCAAGAAAGACACTTGTTACGTGACTAATATAAACATCAGGCTGCTGATCTTCGGTTATCCCAGTGTGATGCCGCAGGTACAGATATAAATCTCAGCTGCTGATTAACGCAAGGTTATTACACTGCCTGACCTGCTGAATGGCCGAGGCTCAGGACTGTGAAAAGATCCCTTCAGTAACATGGTTTTAAGAAAGCTGTGGAAAATGAACACTTATTAAATGCAAGCTTGCTAAAAGCAGATACTAATAATGAGATCAGGGGCTACTTTTTAACTAGTCATATATTTATCAGATGCTAATACTCACCATTACAGACCAAATTTTAGGAACTAGCTACCACTGCAGGTAAAAGCCTACATACTGAAGAGGCCAGGCAACTCCTAAATTTCTGTACTACATAAACACAGAATAGATTGTGTATTCACTTTTAGCCCTGACTGCACATTATGAAGCAATGACATAAGAATAACTGGTAATTTGAAGAAAATTATTTTTCTAGACTTTCCAGATGTATCGACAGGCATCAAGAAAATTCACAAAGAAACAATGCCCATTCCATTTTATTTACTTTACAAAGTGCCTGCTTCCCCAAGGTTCCTGCAATACCCTATTTTTTTAACCTTGCTTATACCCTTTAGTTTAGCTAAAAATACACACCCCCACACACCCCCCATATTTTTTTTCTAGGTCATATAAAGCGGCTGTCCAGGATGAGCCAAGGAAGAACCTGACTCTGGTCAGTATGATGACACTGCAGAAAGAGCCTACTCAAAGATATATTATTACATATGGCCCATCTTAAGTTTTGCTAGAGCTAGCCAAATATATACCACCTCCCTCCTTGTTTCATTGAAAGAGATTACAGGATCTAGATCTTAGAAAACGTCATAATGCAGATAAAGTCTATTGCACATCTCCAGAGATGTGTATGTGTCTGTCCATGGGCATGGACCTCTCCACCCCACGCAGGCAGGCGCATGCGTACGTTTAGGGGGGGATGTCATACGTACACACACATGCGGAGCAGGCATCCCTGTGCATTTTGGTACGCACACATGTAGCCCAGAAGGATTTCCTGAAAAAAAAAAAAAGTGTAGAAGAGTGGAGAAAGGGCACGCAACGTCTTCCCACTGGGGTCCCTGGTATATGATGCTAAGGAGAATAAGAGCTGCTCATTATTGGTCTCCTCAAAGGAAAGACACAGGAAAAAATACACCTGCTCCTCATCCTTAACTATCCTTCATGTTTTAGAACTTCTACAAGCAGCCACAATGACTTGCAGTCATAGACAGAAGAAAAAGTTGTTGCTGACTGCAGCTCCTTCAGTGCAACTATGATGCTATAATAAGGTAAACAGGATGAATTTAACTTATTACGTAATGGCAGTAACTTACCAAAGTGGACTTCTACTACCCAGAAATCACCTATTGTATTTGTTTTGTAATAAACGTTGTGTTATTCATCCCGTGCTGAAGTTTGAGGGTGTAAAAGTCTTGTAGAGCAGGAACTGCAGATTGGTAATGGAACATGAGTTAGCTCTGCAGAAGAGAACTGCATTTCACAGTCTCTCCAGCTTTGTTTTACTGCTTCAAAAACCTCGGCACACGAGATCTCGCTGCAGATAGTTAATTAACTCTTTGGGCTGGTATGTTCCACAGCTTTCCTCACTTGAAACCTAGTGGTTGATTAAGCTCAGATATAACTGAAAACATCCTTGCCTACCTGTTAAGAAAATATAAGAACAGGAGCAGAGCCAGGCAGCAACATCCAAAGTTGGAACTGAACCCAAGGGAAACAAAAAGACGTCCCCTCGTACGATGTGGGCAGCCTCTTTGGTTCATGATGCCCAGGCTCTGGCTGCAAGGGCTGGCGCGTTTGCTGCAGCGGAAGAAAGCCTATAACTAAGATGAAGAAGAGATCAAGATGAAGTCTTAGCCACATTCTTTAAAATCTCAGCCTAGAAGACTGCCGATGTTATTAATCGGCTCTATCCCATAACTGCTGTGGTTTTTTAAAAAAGCCAGTAAGTTATCTCACTAAAGGAGAGCTCTTGCATAATCTTCTCTTGAAAACAGAATTCTTCAATTTAGCTTAAAGAAAAATAACGCAGCTCTCTACACAATTGTAGTTATCTTCCCATACATTTTATACTTGTCCTGCAGGAATTAGCTGCCCCATCCATTTCTCAAGTGATGGTGGGACAACGACCAGCAGAGGTATGCCATGGAGAAACTCCAGGCACTCATCAGGTGCAGCTGACATACCTGCTTATCCCACAGGAATCAGACGTTACAGCTATCACAGGGGTTTGTTGAAAGGCAGTAATGTTCCACTCTCCCTACCAAGTCCGATGTATTTCCTCCCCAGATTCCCCTTCTGTGATCCGACAGCACTCCCTCGACTAAAAGGCTTTCCTGAGCATCACACACTGGAGAAACGCTTGGATTTGGGAGTTGGGAGGCGAGGTAAGAGAGGACCTAATGGATTCTACAAGAATCCAAGGGCCATTATCAGGCAACACATCTCCAGAGCCTTCCAAGAATTACGAAGGCTCTAGAGAGTTGTAAGGCTTTTGGCTGCTTTAGCCAACCACGTTCAGCTGCGGGTGATTAGAGAAATTCTAATCCACAGCAGAAAGAAAAAGAGAGAAACAAAACCTCCTGAACGATTAAACTACTGCCAAACCCCGCAGTTTCTAATCCTCAACTGTCATTCAGAGGCTAACCACCACCACAGTAAATTCAATTTAAATAAAGGGATGTTTAAAAACCTTCTGTAAAACAGAGGAACGTTATTTCTGTTAAACAAACTGTGACAAAGTACTTAGGTAAGCAAGAGGGAAAACTTGCAGGCAGCTTAGAAAACATCCTTTTTCTGCTAAACTTTTCCAAGTGCACAAAGTAAGTGCAAAAGCCTCGCAGGAGGTAAAGGCACATCTCAGATTCTGCAGCGCACGCTGTGTTCTGTGACACGGTAATTGTTTTGAGATTTCAGACATATACTGTGCTGTCATTTGAAAAAAGTGATGGATGAGAAACTGGAAACCTCAAGGAATTAGTAATAGGATATAGAGCATTTCACCTCTAGGTCACCAGTTCAAATTCAACCAGGTTGGTAGTGACCAAAAGTAGTTACCATCTGGCAGCTGTTCTGTGGCCGATGTAAATTGAGTTGAGGGTCTCAGCGCATTTCCTAGTGGACAGGTGTCCTCGGCACAAAACCCACCATAATTAACTCTCTGTTTGGCTTTCTCAGCAAAGGCACTGAACAACGAGCAGAAGTAAAGACTGAGCTATATTGCAGGTCAGCATGAGAGCACATTGGCTGTGGAGCACTGCAGATTCTCAATCATAATTCCTCTTTATATTTTAAGACAGACAGATTAAGGAGGGACTTAATTTCTCATCATTACATCAAACAGAGCAGGCTCAAGAAAGAGCTTACATGCTGCTGTTTCTGCTCAATGCGGATTTCTTTTCAACACACAGTTACAGCAGGGTTTGGAAAGACAACAAAGAAATACAAAGTATAATCCCAACAGTGAAAACGATAAATTTACCCTAATGCACTTACTAGAGAGGAAACAGACACAATAAACAAACTGGTTTCAGACTACTGGATGCAGACTGTAGGTTGAGATTATCCAGATTTGGAAATAAGAGGAGACATACTGTAAAGGAAAAAGAAATGAAGATGGCATCCTTTAGGTCAGCACCAATCCCAGCGGGGGTTTGGGGAACACCACCGCTATAATAACAGCTTTAAAACTGACCTCTTGCATCCAGAAATTGTGACTCACAACTCTTCTCAAAAAACAAACAAGACCCAGTATTCTAGGCAGAACTGTGTGTGACCAAGGCTTCAAAATGCTATGCATGAAAAACACTGCAGGGGGGATATAAAAAAAATATTCCCGTATGCAGATTTTTCCCAACAGAAACTGGAAAATTTGTTGAGTCTACTTCTGGCCCAACTGTGCTTTTCGCAAGCCACGGGGCCAGTCGTGTATGGGATGACCTGCTGACAGGCACCAGCCAAACCACCTGTTCCCCTAATCTGTTCAGCCCCATCACATCTGAATTTGTGAAAACAGGTACAGCTATCGGGTGTCCCCTCTCCCCCCAGCATTTGTGGAAGAAAGGCAAGTAGAACAGAATTTAAGCAATCAGTATCACCAGCCTTTCCACACACAAAGGCATTTAACCACCGTCAGTGGCTTGTAAGACCGAGTCGCTGGTGGCAAAGAGTGTGAAAACTGCAGCTCCAGGGAAGAGCCCGACACTGCCTCGGGGAAAACACGGACCGAGCTCAGAGGGGGCCAGAACACGCATTTCGGGCTGAAGAGTTTGACACAGTTTGAGCAGTGGCTGACTTTGGAATGTTCTTAGCACGCATTCAGATAATGTTAACTTTAAATAAACTTGCTGAATACTCATGTGAATTATTTCCATTTGGCTGTCTCATTATTCAATATGCTTTCAAGGAACACGGTGATGAAAGAGGAAAAATACCTCTTTCTAACATAACCACACTGGCAAGAGGATCAACATTATCAGTATTCAAAGAATGTCTTGGCAGGATAAACCTTCATAAAAAGAAGGAGCACTAGCTAATCCAAGTTGTCAAAATAGCAATAGTACTTCAAGGGTTGATCTGCAAAGTGATTCATTATTTATTGCTAACGCAAACAAAACATTCTGAGCAGAAGGAGCAATAGAGTATTTTCTATCTTGGAAATCCACTGATGGAGACTCCATGAACCCTAGGATGACTGAGAAAAGGACATCTACTTTCTTCCTTACTGAAAAACAACCCAAAGGCAGGAAAAGCGGTGTAGTTCTCCACCTAAAAGAAATCAGACACTTAAGAGGAATATTTCCTGAACTAACACAGATACGAAATGCGGCACAGCAAGAAGAAAAATTTCTTGAAACTTCATTCAGAAGCACAAGACACTCACCTTTTAGAAAAAAAAAAAACCAACACAAAAACACACAAGGAACACGGCAGAAACCAATCATGAGATGTATCGCACACCCTAAAAATTCATATATGTTCCACACCTCAGTAAGAGGGCTGACTTGCCAAAATAAGTGTCTGCTAGAATCAACCAGGCAAGTGGTTTCAGATGCCCAACCTCAGGCACTTCTACAAAAGTTTCAGTCTCGTTACCTTCTTCCTTGGTAAAGCTAGGCAGGGCTCTGCTTTCTTCCATTCTCCTTTAAATTCTTTAAAATACAGACTTCAAAGACTGGTTGTTTATTTGTTTTTGATGCATCATCTTTGTCATTTATTTGGGAGATTTATTTGAAATACACTTTATCCACTTACCACCCTTCCTATTCTTTCAACCCATCTTTTCCTGTAACATGTCATCTCAGCTATCTTCTCACTCATTTAAGCCTTGGAACCTGATCTTACTCCTGATGTGTACCTCCCTTCACTGCAACAGAAAGCACTGGCTCAGCCTCAAGAATTCAGGATTCTACGAACTCCTCTGAATAACTGCACATACCATTTTAAAAAAGCTAATATATCACACCTAGGAACTACCTGAAAAAATAGAGCCACTCTGAGAAGCCCATTCTTCCTCCTAGAATATTTCTGACAGAAACATAAGAACCACCAGGAGAAAAAAATAATAACAAAAAGCACAGGCAATAATAAAAATAACAAAAAGCACAGGCAATAATAAAAATAACAAAAATCACAGGCAATCCTTTTCAGCAGAGTGTTATCATAGCACAGAAATACTGTAGTATCACTATAGGAAAAGCACTTTCTGATCCGAATTATTCATTTTAATGACAATAACACGCAGCACCTGAGGGAAGAACAACTAAGGAATATTCATGCTTTGTGATATTATGGTCAAACACATGCAAATAGAGCTGCTGAAAGTCGTTAGGCGTTGGAATTTCAACATTTCCAATTTCTTCAAAGATATGATGCAATAGCTCATTTTTCAGTTTGCAAGGAAAAAAACCAGCAGTAGAAACAGAAGAATCTGTAAAGTTTTTTTCAGACTATTTCATAGCATTTGCACACGCACAGAGAGAGGCTACACTTTCTCTACGATTTCTTAAGCTTTTTCTTTTCCCTGCTCAGCAATAGCTACTGAGCGACCTCTTGTGACAAAAGTTTGAGCAGTATCTTACCGGTTTTCATTTCTTCTAAATAACTTCAAAGAACATAAGGCCGGCAGCGCCGAAGTTAGAGCCTCAAAAGATCAGCGCCATCTCTGTCATTGCAGCAGATAATACTGCCTGAAAATAGCATTTGTACTGAGTTATTTTACCTACTCAGTCTGTGCACTGAAGAACTGACATCCGAAGCTAACAGGAGTCAAAACCAACATACCACGGCCACTCTCCACACACTGTTCTTTTCAGCAAGTGTTGCAAAAAAGGTGTGTAATCAACCTCTTGCACATCATTGCCATCGCATTAAAATAAGCCGAGAAAAACAGCATACGTAATAGTCCAATGAAAGGTGATTAAATCAAAACGCCATAAAAAAAAATAATCATTTGCAACTTGAGAGAGGGCAAAATCAAAGAACAAATAAAAGACCAATAAGTTTTATTAACCAACATTTAAGACCAATGTGAACCACTGCCAGATTATTTCAAGGATCTTAACACATTCTTAGAAGCGAACACTCCTGAAATCTCTGGTTTCAAGCTTTCTGTAGTCCCAATAAAGTAAGATTGAAACTTTCTCCGCTTTGGAACACGAATTCTGTGGTTTTGTTTTTCTGGCTTTTGTTTTTCACAGTATTTAAACTTTGATATTTGGAAACACATACATAAATATAATAAGAGCACGTCATACAGCCCCAGAAAATGATGAGCAATCTGCGGTCATTTCAAGCAAGCACAGCATCATTCATCCTTCCCACTGAAAAGGAATCAAAGCGTGAACGACTGGTTGTCAGAGTAACTGATGGAAAGGGCTCAATGAACAGGCCAAACAGCAAAATCAACACACAAAATGATTTCAGAACAGAAAAGGAATTGCTGAGGGGTCTGGCCACGAGATGTCACTCTCTCCTTTGCGGCAACCGGGAAATTCAGCAGCATGGCTTTCCTCTCAGGTGTCCAAAGCGAGACTATAGTCAATAAAAATGGCTACATTAAATTGGGTCGGGTAAAGAACTGCTCAATGCGTTATTTCTGTAGCTGTGTCTGCAATTTCCATAGTCGTGCCGTAAAATTACTGCTCGGAATGCTGTGAAGTCAAAACAGCCTCCGAGCAGTCTCTGAACCTGTCCCCCAAGCCCAAACAAAGAACTCAGCTAAATCCTGTTATAACTTACACCAATGTAGCAAGTTGCTCTGAATTTTTTAGCCTTTTCAAACACAACCACCATTCTGTATTGAGCACTTATAATATCCATCTAGCCTAACCAAGTAAGTTGTGAGGGTTTTTTTCAGCTGGCTTAGCTTAATACTTGGTCAGGCCCCATGGCCTAGTAAGGTCTTACTTCTGGGTTCTGCAGACCATCACCAACACCTTTACTAACCACTGGCATGTCAAATCATTCTTATAGCGCTAGCATTCAAACTGATTTGTATCCTTTGTATATCTAACCAGGCATCTGTTGGAGCAGACCGAAGAGATGTGAGCTCAAATCTTAGAAGTCTAGGATCAAAATTTGTAACTGTCATAAACACATACCTATTAAGGGAACAAAAAAAGGGAAGACCAAAACAAACCTACAATGAAAGAAAATTCCTAGGAATGAAACATGTTATGTAAGCATGAGATGAACTGCATAAATTCATCAGAAACCTATCCTTAAGATGGCTGATAAAGAAAAACTCAATATTACCTTATTATGTGTTAAGGTTATCCTCAGGTCTGGTTTTATGATACCGTATGCTGTCAGTAGATCTTGGACTTTTTTCAGTTCTTCCTTACATTTTCTATTTGTTGAGTAAAACTGCTTTCTCACAGGAAGATTCTTAAACAACTTCAGGACTGTTACTGTAGTACCTGCAACCAGGTGACCAAAAAAATAAGTGGAAAGTACACTGAAAGCACACCACTGACTGAGGAAACTTCATTCTTACTTGAAGAGACCTGGCTGCATGCTCCTGCATGCAAAATAAACCTTAGTAAGACTAACTGAGATGACATTAGCATGAGAAGAAATATCCCAAATTAGCAGTCCTCCTCCCTCCCCCCCAAAATACCTATAGACCTCAAGAGCTGTGATTCCCTCCAAACCACGAAGGCCAGCTCTGAGGTGAGGGCAACTTTGAATCTTTCACACAAAACACAGAGAAGGATGTCTAGCAACGCGCTCTTCCTGCAGGTGAGGAAGAACAGCGACTTTGTCCGGTTCTACGGCCACGCTGCTTCCAGCAGCTCCTTCCCAGAGCAGCAGGGCAACTCTTCCTCCTCCAAGCAAGGATTTTGCTTTGTACAGAAACATTACTTTGCTCCTGAATGAATCTTTCATATACTTATATAGGAAGTCTGCCTGGACCTAAGGTCAATTTTTACAGCTTTTATTTCTGCTGTCAGCTTGAAAGAAGCAAGTCAGAGGAGAAACTAGTTTATAATTACTACCTAAACCAACTTCCAAGATGTATTTTTTCTTACAATAACACCACATTCCCAGTTAACAGACATAAGGCAAGAAATGTTTACAGGTGCAAAGATTTCATACTCAGCCTTTAAGTACAAAACAGGTATCAAATAGAGCCTCAGAGAAACATGAAATACTTCTGTCCCAGCAGAACACCAGAACTGTGAGACCCTACCTTGCCCAAGATGGGAAGGCTTTTTGGAAGTTATGTGCCCATTGCTATCCAAAGCATACTGAGTGCTGAAATTATCAGTGGCCGTCTTTGTCGTGACCAAAACCTGAAAAGAGATTTTAAAAAGAAAATTATGCTGATCAAGTATTCACAAAGTTCAGAATGAGGTTAGGTAAGCTTTGCTACCACTCTTGCCACTGCATTTCATCACCACAACTAAATTTAACTAGTTTATCCATTTTTACTTCTACATGTGTTTCTTAGAGTCACAGAAACATTCCGCATTGTTATTCCTTTTCCCATCTATCTAACCATCACATCTGCATTTCCATCACACTAATACACAAAGCGTAGCAATCCCTACTACTACAGCACGCACTCCTGTATCTTCTGTTCTAAGACGGGTTAGATAAATGACTAAAATCGTGGCTAATTTTGCATTTTCATCCTTCACGAGAGAAAGCATACGGCGACTTCTTCGTGTGAGTTTCCACAAAAGATAACAACTACTATCAAACAAACAGCATGTTATCCTTCCACACCCAAACATATCCAGCAATCAGTAGTAGCATGTTTTGTAAGCTATCATGGTAGTACACAGAGCAGCTTTAGCAAGACCAGTCATAAACCAGAAGTTCGATAAAACCACAGTTCACCAAGTTCAGGTATCAACATTCGGAACGACCGAACCACTGCACTTAAACCACCCGAAAGACATAAAAGTTATGACACATACAGAGCTTCAGGATATTTTGGTTTATTTCAGTGTCTCATATGAATCATTTAGAGTTCAGCCATGCCTCTGGAGAGAAAGAAGCAGCAATTGATTTAAACGGAAATGACAATATTACAGACCTACTTAAGGGCCAATGGTAACTCTTAACTGGAACTTCAGGGGGCAGTTTGGGTAGGCAGAATGCAATTAATGCCAGAATTGTTTAATTAACGTAATTACCAGTCCAGGGACTGAAGTAACACCTACTAAGGCACTTAATACACTCAGGCCACCTCCCATCTCTTATGAAATGTACCGTAGAGCTGATTAAAAGCTCAGGATGGATGGCATCCTGCTCTGACAACCCATTAGAAGAAACCACTGATTGACATCTGTCACAGCACCAGCCCCTCTGAAAGCCTCTTTGGAAATCTCCACCCGACCACACAACCCACTCCTGCTTAGTGCAGTGGGAATGTAGCCCAAGGGAGCGAGGAGCCACACTCTAACATCTCTCCTGACCTCAACGGTTGATGCTTCCAATCAGACAGGTATCGGTATCTCCTTGCAGGATGGAATCCTTGACAGACTCAGAAAGAAGAATCCAAAACTTGACCTTGGCACAGCACAAATCCAGAAAGGCAGAGAACGATGCATAACAGCATAACCACTTCTCAGAGGGTTCTGAACAAACTTCCTTACTTCCAGTCAACAAGTTAAACCCTAAATATCAGGACACTGTCAGTCCTCTTGACACAAACATACAGAGCAGGCTCACAGAGTCCAAGGAGCAGGTTCCTGTTTACTCAGAGAGACAACGAAGTTTGTGCAACTGCAGTCGTATATACGTCAAAGAGCAACGTGGAGCCCGGGGAGATCCCATGACTGCCAATCACCTAGATAACATCAAGGCAGAAATCACTACCGGCACGGTAGCTATGTGGGCCATCAGTTCCCTGAAACGACTCCTCCTGGCCACCACCTGCTCTTCCTCATTTTGACTTACCCTAAAGTCAAGCCGCGAACTCAGCCATACCCTTCCACGTTAGATCTGCTAAGGCTAAAGAGGACAAACCAGAGCTCTAAGGAATCCCTTATATCTACGTGTACGTAGAAGAATCATGTACCTATGTCCTGATACAAAAGAAAACACTGAGCAAATCACAACAAAAGACCAGGCACGTTTATAGCAACTGCTCACCTCTGATACGCAGCAAATTGATCCTAAAGCTTCCCCACGGAAACCGTATGTTGTCAACCTTTCAAGGTCCTCAGAAGAGCTTATTTTTGAGGTGTAGTACCTAACTGCCATAACTGGAACGTCATCAGCCTTGATTCCACTGCCATTGTCTCTTATTTCTATTTTGTTAAACCCGTAATTCTCCTAAAAAAAAAAAAAAAAAAGAAAGAAATGTAATAGAGCGCTAAAGCAACTGATGAATTAAGACACAAGTTTGAGGCAGCTGTGGAGTTTTGCTTATTTGGAGAAACTGAGCAACCATTAAATGTCCCTGCTTGAGAGAAAAAAAAAAAAAGAGAGAGGAAAATAAAACATGTTGGGGCAGTAGTGATGGTTTCTTTAATTAAATAATGTAATTCATACCCTGTGGTTTGGGAACACCACATTAATATAAATACAATAAAATTAAAGCAGGAATTAAGTCAATTTCTTTAAACTACGATGAGATTTGCAAAACCTAAGTTGGGAAAGAGATCGACAGCTGGAAAGCTAAAGACTTTTCCACATCTTTTCTCCTCTCTTACCTATTTGGCATGAACTTTTTGGGGAGTCACCACAAATGCAGCTCTGCATCCATTAAAGTCAGTGAGGCCTCGTTTAGAACTGTTTTCAATTTGAGTCTATTTACAGTATTTCACTACTTTAGTAGATTTCCAGTCTCTACACAGGAGCTGAAACTCTAACGGGGGCAAGGCATGAATGGGGACAGCCAAGCGGAGAAAGTTCATCAGAGCTGCAGGATCACTAACTAAACGTCTTTTACAGAAGCCTGCCAGGCTCTTTCAAAAGATTATGATGCAACATACAGAAAAATGTGCTGCAGTGTGTAACATCTAGGTGACCTTAAAACCGTTTTTGCTTGGAAAGAATCTCTCAAATGAGTGGCTACCACGACTGTTGGCGTGCAAAGCATGGGATGGTTGCTCCCAGAAAGCTGATCGATTAAACAGAACTAATTTTATTGTCCCATCTGAGCATATACTGAGAACAGTTGGGAAAAAAGGTAAGTACTTCCACAGTTGTCTCTCAAAGTACAAAAATATTGCAATTAAAAAAAGAAAAGGGAGGTATGTAAAGACAGTATCTGTATTCACACATATTCTGCACTGGGAAACATCAGAAGCCTCTGAGATAGGTACAGAACTAGATATATTTAGTTAACTGATAAAAAAATAGAAACATAGGTACATTTCACTTTCTCTGTTAATGAATGTGCTAAATCTATCTTCAGGTTAAAAACAATGCTTTTGTTAATATTTGAGTCAACCTCCTGCTGGGAAGCAAAACAGAACCTAAGCAAGGCACCTCACCTGAACAAAAAAACCCTCAGGAGATACAAACAGGAAACCTCCTGCCCTGCTGCTGTAGGCACTAATAAAGGATTTGAGCATTTTACAATCCACCCCACTCTTCCGTTTCAGTTTTCACTTCCAGACCACAGAACTGCCTACGAAAAGTGAGATTTCTTCAACTTGAATCATGTTCCATTAGTGATTCTCTATTTCTTTTCTAATATTATTCACTTTTATTTGCATACACTTTACTTAAAATATTTCAGTGCTTTACCTTTGCATTCTGTTACACCTTCCCCTGCGCTACATGACCTAAATGCTACCGAGGTTGTGATCCCATGGGATGTTTAAGTTGCTCTACCCAGTCGCTGATGCCATTTTCTAATATTATTCACTTTTATTTGCATACACTTTACTTAAAATATTTCAGTGCTTTACCTTTGCATTGTTACATCTTCCCCTGCGCTACATGACCTAAATGCTACTGAGGTTGTGATCCCATGGGATGTTTAGGTTGCTCTACCCAGTCACTGATGCCAAACCACACGGTTCAACTCCTTCCTCTTTTACTCAAAACTGCACGGTGCCATTTTTGTTTCACCTACAGCTCTGTTAGGACAGCTGTAAGGTCAACTTAGCTTACTAAGACGGCACAAATTATCCGGTTCTCTTGCTGGGTAACTTTTGTTTTCACCAAGCAAGATGAAGGGATCACAACACGCAGAAATGTCTAGCAATGTCTGCAGACGGATGTAGGACTCTGCTCTCCAGGTGATGAGATGGATCAGGTGTACAGTGCAACCTCACTACCAGCTAAACTTCCTCTGAGAAAGTTCTTAGGATTAAAGCTCCCAGCCAGTGCATTGGGGGAAAAAAAAAAAAAAAAATCAGTACAGAAATGAGTGTTTGCAACAGCCATTTTGCATAACAGCAAACCTGTAGCTTGGATTTGTCCCTCCTGAATCCCAACTTCGCTCCAACTACTAACACAGGTTGTTGCTCACCTTCTCTATTAATTAAGACACGCAGGTCTCAGACTGTGCGGATCATTCTGGAAAACTCCTGTCGTTATAAGTCAGTCAGGAAAACCAACAGACTGGTGCCCTGCAATTATATTGCTGCATGAATGGGGTTTTTAGCACATTTTAACCTGAAGCCAGGGCCTCGTGTCAAGAACAAAATCATGGTCCTACACATGCTTAGCGCACAGCTCCACCAGGTATTTCTAAAAGCAACAAAGCTGAGGTTCAAGTGAGTAAATAAGACACCACTCAACACCTTATAGAAAGGCCACGGTTCAGTTTCTCATCAAAAGGCTGGCTTTTAATTAAAGTCATATCGCACTATCTAAACTACAAGCTGATGTTTTTCTCAGTGCTGTGTAAAAGCTCTTTGGTGCCCAGTGCAAAGATGCTCAATAACATCACCTAATGCAGTCTGATCAGCCAAGAAGTTAACAAGAATAAAACAGTAGCCAAATATCGCCACTAAAACTGACCACTGCCACGGTTTCTACCCAGGAACCGTGCCATGTGCAGGTTAACTCCTGTCTGTCTCCACATTCAAGTCTTTGCCCAGGCAAGTTGGGTAAGGAGTCTGAATTAACCTGCTAGCCTTCCTAATGCGTCTGGAAAAGGTTAAAAAAAAATTAAAATGCTGCGAGTTTCAGGCAAAAAAATCTTCAGGCTGTAAAACGAAATTTCAAAGCCTCCATTCTCTACTGTGCTTTTGAACTAATCCAGAGTTGGTGTGGTCATTGAGCCTCATTATGTGGTCAACCTTATTTAATTTTCACACAGTAGTTTGATATAAAAATATTATCACCCAAAAAAATCCCAGAAAAAACACTCCACCCTTTTACAGTACTATCGTGTACAGCTGTGCAAAGTGCAGGCTTTTCTCTCTTTTCCTTTTTCCACAGAAGAAAAATCAGCAAATCTCCGTTACTCACTGACAACCTGCATAAAGTTGGGTTTCTTGCTGGTTATAGGAATACAGTGATTTGGGCTGGGCTGAACTGACAGAGAACGTCACAGCAGCACAGACTCATGCAGTAGAAGCGGCTGAAAATGCCCTTTTTAACTGATTACGGAACCTCTCGCTATGGAAACAGCTGGATTATTGCTCTGTGACGAGAGGGCTATCTACATGCGTGGCTCTGCATCAGCACTTCAGCAAGAGACAAAGTTTGGTCTAACAATTTCCAAAAGCTCCAAAACCTCCTGCTGACTTCTTGCAATTAGTGATTGGCCACAGGATCCGACTCTGACCCCCGTAACTTGTACACACAATTCATGCCGTCTAAATATTGAGGTCAGCACAGCCTATAGAGAAGATAGAGTATCTTCAGCTCACTTAAGGCAAATCATAATATAATCATAATAATAAGCATGTTCCTTTCTGTAGGGAACCATCTTCAGCTGGAAAACACTTGAGAGAAACAAGCAGAAAGTGAATTAAAATCCTAATTAAAAGCATTTGTGTCACACTTCATTCAAGAACAGCTTAGACATTCACTGATGTTTGCAGGAAAGGAAACTGGATATAGCTCTGGGCTGTTAACAACATGCTTTCTTCTTAAGCAGGAGATACTACTACTCTGCAGCTGTTGACAAAACACCAAAAAACCAAAAACGCTCATGGCAGCAAGAGAAGCCAATCAGTTAGCTATTTTACCCAATTCGGGAGGAAACCGCACACGTTCTTTACTGTAATCACTATTTTCTTTTTTTTTTCAGAAAGTATCTTTTTTTTAACATCTTATTTTATCAAGTGTTAGAAGTAGCCAGAGCACACCACGGTAATTAGGGACAATATGGTGATTTATATCACAAAAACATCCAGCATGGCCATCAACCTTTTTCATTGTTTCCATTTGCACCTTCTGACAGTATTTTGTATGAAGCACTAAACATGCCAGCCCAGTAGTGAAATTTAAGTCCAGCATTTTGTTGGGTTTTTTTTAAATATCAGTCGGAAAAAGTAATTTTAAGTAAAAAAGAAGTATTTAGTAAGTCGACAGTTTTTATTCCCCAAGATACACCTTACTGTTTCAGTTTTGCATCCAAAATGTAACGGAAACTGATCTGGGACCATTTTTCTTTGAGGTGAAAACATGTATGTGTAAACACTATTAATACCCTTCCACTCCCCAAAACACAACTGTCTAAAAAGTACATTTGCAGGGGAACAATTTTCCTTGCATCCTATTTTACATTCAGTTCTCTGAAAGAGGAAGAAAGAGGACTCACAAGTTTAATATCAATATTTGTGGCACTGGCATCCAAGGAATTCTCCAGCAGCTCCTTCACCACGCTGACGACTGATGTGATCACCTGAGAACTTGAAAGGAGACGAATAGTCTCTGCTGGCAGCTGCTTCATAGTGAAATAAGATTCAGAGAAGCTGCACAGGAAGATAACAGAAAAATAATGTAAAAGGCATGTCACAGATATACATTTCTAAGTAACTTTTCCATATCAACTTTTAAATGTAGGCTGAAGAGTAAAATTTAAGGCTGAGTAAAAAGAGTAAAAATTAACAGTAAAATTTTCAAGGTACAGTAGGATGCAGCTTCCTGCAGTCAACAGGAGTTTGACTTGTAGAAGAAACGGAACACAGATGTAGAAAAAGTCTATTTAAACTTCTAATGAAAAAACTGAGAATTCAGAGATGTATTGAGCAGAGCACCGTGTTATCTCACATTTATACAGTCATCTCTCAATTTCTAGAACATGTGGTTGTGATCTTGCCATTACAACAGAGTAAACAGATGGTAATAAAGAACGCTAGACAGAAATATCTTCAGGTAGGATATTTACCCAGTACCTAAAAATTCACAGAATAACGACCTGCAGGTAACTATTTTGGAGTCAGGAAAGAAGTGAGGCAGAAGCATAGGGATGCTGAGGCAAAAGTCACATTCAATGGTGATGTGATCTACTGGCAATAACGAAAAGACACAGAAAACTCCTTCTGAATTATAACTTTGTCTTTCTCATCAGACTTACTGTGTGCCTTCTGGCAGGTCAATTTGTTTCTATGTCTCTGCATCTTCCACTTAAAAACGGAGGTGCCTCGTATTGCAAGCCAAAGGAGAATTTTTATTTTTATTTTAATCACTGAAAACACAAAGGGTTATAAAGTTCCTGCTGCATTATAGAGACACTCTACCGTGATGAAGAGCTTTTAAGTGGAAGTGCAAATTTTTGCATGCATTTCTGTTTGAGTAGACAAAATTAACCAAATCTTTGTTGATCCTTGGAGCCTGACTCAAAGCACTCGACAACAATTCCTCAGGCAAATAAGAACGAAGAGACAAAGAGCATTTTCAGACAGCTCTTTGCTCCTCAAGAACAGTTCAGACTTGAGCTCCCTCTCTCCACAGCAGCGCTCTTTACTGGGTCACGTTACGTAACGTTATTTGCGCTGAAAGGCAAAGAATGCCAGCAGTCCTGGCTTGCCCAAGCTATCTGCTGGAGAACACAGACTGCACAGTCAGCACCCGTCCCGAGGGTGTGAGCACACGTGGAGGAATGGAGCAAACCCAGATTTCCCCCTGACACCCAGGACACGGTGAGCGGCTGCGGCCAGCATGCCAGAGCTGTCCTGCAGGCTACCTACAGCTGATACAACAATTATGGGACACTTCTTTGCCTTGATATCCTTCTACATGTTGCCACGCTTCAAGGACAAAGCAAAAATATGGTTACTTGCAGGGAAGAGGCAAAAATAGAAAAAAAAAGAAAAAAGTACAGTGTTTTGAAGAGGAAACAGCATTAAAACTTTTTAAAGAAAAGCTAGAAAAATCTTCTCTTTAAATTCGTTATTTACATTCCAAAGGGAGCTTGCCTGTCAGATGCAGTAAAACGATCTGACCAATCTGCTTTCCACACACACACTGGGAAAAGACGAGGAGCACGGGAACACGTGTGTGGCTGAAGTCAGGCTGACATTAATCACACACACGCGTTTGGGAAGGCAGGTTTCCTCACGCGTTACACGGGACTCCCGTGTCGAGCACTTCATGATCAACTGATGACAAGTGTCAGGTGGACGCTGGGTATCTTTATCAAAAGACACTGATAGAGTCAAGGAAAGGTCTTAAAAAAGAAATGTTGCAGATCCCAAAGACAAGTTTTCCATGAGGTGCAACTGATGCAGGCGCTTTGGGAGAGGAACTGGTGCCGGCGCTACCCTCAACCCAAACCACCCAGCGTGGGGCTGGCGGGTTTGAGCACCATCACTCGCATCATCCTACCATCCCTCACAGAATCTCTTTGGGTTGGAATCACAGAATGTTGGGGGTTGGAAGGGACGTCCAGAGATCACCCAGTGCAACCCCCTGCCAGAGCAAGGTCACCCAGGGCAGCCACACAGGAAGCGCAGCCGCACAGGAACGCGTCCAGGCGGGTTGGAAAGTCTCCAGAGCAGGAGACTCCACACCCTCTCTGGGCAGCCTGGGCCAGGGCTCCGGCACTCGCACAGGGAAGGAGTTTCTCCTCCCATTGAGGTGGAACTTCCAATGTTCTAACTTATACCCATTATTGCTTGTTCTATTGCTGGGCAC